TCCCTTCTCCCTCTCCTTCCCCTCCCCTTCCTTTCTTTCCCTTTCTCCTTTTTGTCTTCATCATCTCCTTCTCCTCCCTCCCTTCCCCTCTCCTCCCTTCCCCTCTCCTCTCCTTCTCCCTCTCCTCACCTCTCCTTCTTTGATCCTTGGTGATACCTGGCTTCCCTAGATACCAGGTTCTCGGTTTCTGTATGTGAGGAGGGTATCTGAGGGGGAGGACAGGACAACACTGCTGCTATGGCACTCCTTCATGCACTGCCTTTTGCTTTCTTCTGAGCACACTAAGGCCATCATAACATAAGCTTACCATAGCCATTTCTAGGATTGCCTGGCAGAACGTGGCCCTGTGGACCTGCCATCTCCATGGATGCCATTTCTATGCTTTCATGGTAATCTTCATTCTGTCTCCCAAGCACATTCAAGGGGTCATTGCTCCTGCAAAGAAAACAAGAGCCACACTGAACATGGTCTGCTGAGTACTCTGGAATCCCAAAGGCTGGCTCCCTGTGATGGTTCACCTTGCTGTCACCTTGATTAGACTGAGAAGGGTCTAGGAGAATTCTAAAGCACACCTCTGGGTATGTCTGTGAGGGTGTTTCCAGAGAGGGTTAACTAAGGAGGGAGCCCCACCTTGAATGTAGGCAGCACCATCCTATGGCTGGGGGCCCAGATGGAATCAAGAAGAAACCAGGAAAAATAAGCCTGAATGCATCTTCTCTTTCTCTTCCTCCCTCCCTTCTTCCCTCTCTCCCTCCCGCCTCTTTTTCTTTCCTCACTCCATTTCTCTTCTTCTTGGCCACCAAATGTGAGCTGTTCTACTTCACCACACCTTCCCCACCATGATGGACTGAAACCTTTGAAACCATGAGCCAAAATAAATCCTCCTCCTTTAATTTGTTTATGCCTAGTGTCTTGTCATAATGGCAGAAAGTCTGACTGACACAATCTCAATCTATCAAGTAGTGTAAGGGAAACAATACATCCATCACTCATCCACGCAGTAATTCATCATCTACTCATTCACCCATTTACCCAGTCATCCATTCATAATTCATCCATTCATCACTTCCAGAATTCTGACTAAATGCCAGCCATATGTTAGGTATAGGGTAGGCAACAGAGATGCAAATGTGTGGTGGTTTGAATCAGCAATATCCTCCATAGGCTCATGTATTTGAACACTTTGTCCCCAGTTGGGGAAGTCATGGAACCTTTAGGAGATATTGCCTTGCTGGAGGAAGTATGTCACTGGGGGCACGCTTTGACAGTTTATGGCCTCATTCCACTTATAATTTTCTCTCTTTCATGCTTGTAGTTGGAGACATGAGTGCTCGGCTTCCTGCTCCTGTCACTTGCTGTCACTTGCTGCCATGCCTCCCCACCATGATGAACTCGTATTCCTGGAACTCGAAGCCAAAATAAACTCTTCCTTAAGTTGCTTTTTAATGTGATGTCTTATCATAGCAATAGAAATTAACTAATACAGAAATTGGTACCAGAGAGTATACTGTTGCTGTGAAGAAACTGATCATGTTGTTTTTGGAGAAATGTGGAAGACTTTGGAACTCTAGACTATATAAATGGTTGAATGTTATAAGCAGAGCTTGATGGACTATTCTAGTAGAGGCCTGGAAGACATTAGTGCCAAGAGCAATGTGAACTGTAGAGGCCAAGCTCAGGAGGCTCCAGAGGGAACCAAGAACTTTAGCAGCAACTGGGCTAGAGGCCAATCCTGAGATATTTTGGCAAAGAATCTGGCTGCCTTCTACCTGTGTCTTAAATTTGCCTGAGACTACATTAAAAAGTAGTGGGCTTATTTCTTTTATGGAGGAAATTTCAAGGCAGCATACTATGGAATCTAATCTATGACTTGATTATTACCTGTTTTACTTATGCAGGTCTACAATGAAAAAGAGCAAGTGGAGCAGAAAAAACAAAATGTACAGTTTGGAAAGAAAAAGAGCATTAGGAAGCTTAATGTTGAAGCCAAGGCAGGTGCTGGGAGAGATTGTAACTTGAGATTAGTGCCAGTAAGGAGAGGCCTCCTGCTCCGCACTAGAACAAAGGGAAAGTCAAGAACTCCCCCAGCTCAGCTCCCAACTGTTGAAAAGAAAAGACCTAAGGAGTTTTCTGCTACTATAAAACAACACCATACACAAGCTTCTGATAATGTGATTCAAGGAGCCAAGCATTCATCCAAGCTGGCAGAGGAACTTGGCAGTATTGTCCATGTGGTACTGGCTGTGGAGGCAAGAAGAAACAAGACCTAGGCGGCTATAAATTCTGTCTCCAAGATGTCTGAGAGTCGCCGAGGCCAGGCAATGTGCATCAGTGTTGGAGTCATTGCAAGAGGACCTTGAGAGGTAAGGAAGGTGTGCGAGGCCGGTGTGAAGCAGTGAAGGTGAAGACTGGGATGCAGTAGAGACCCCGAGATGTTGGAGCTGCCAGAACCAGGAGACAGCTGTCAAAGAAAGCAGACACAGAGAGGAACAGCAAAGTTGGAGGAATAGAATCACCTAAGCCTTTTGGAACTAAGGTCCCAGACATAGATGTGGAGCTGTAGGGTTTAGTGTTTGCTCTTCTGGGTCTTGTTTTCGTCTGGTATTTCCTCACTAAACCCCTATTTATTTATTTATTTATTTATTTATTTATTTATTTATTTAGAATGGGAAGTTTGTGGGTGTTTTATCTTGAGTCAGAAGAGACTTTGAACTTTGGACTTTTGAACAGTGTTGACAATGTTAGACTATGGGGACTTTCAAAGTTAGATCAAGTGTATTAGAAAATGTTAGATCGGAACTGAGCAGGGTGACAGGGTTTGAAGGCTTTGAGACAATAGGGGCTGTTATTTGTTTTCTCAGATAACACAGTCTTGGGGTTGGGGATTTTATACAGTGCCTGGGTTGGAAATTAACTTGGACCTGAGATTTACCTAAGGTCTACTTCAACCCAGTATAGGGCCCTTTAGAAGTTAGCTCAGGGCCCTTTCGAATCCAGGCATTCTTCCTTCAAAGTACATTTTGCATTATGATATGTCTATGAGCTTGGGGGGATGGGGCAGGGACTGGAATGTGGTGGTTTGAATGAGAAATGTCCCCCGTGGGCTCATGTATTTGATCACTTTGTCTCCAGCTGGTGGTGCTGTTTGGGGAGGTCATGGAATCTTTAGGAGGTGCAGCCTTGCTGGAGGAAGTGTGTCACTGCGGCCTTGCTGGAGGAAGTGTGTCACTGGGGGCGGCTTTGAGTGTTCATAGCTTTGCCTCACTTCCAGTTCACTCTCTTTACTTCATGTTTGTGATTGGATATGTGAGCTCTAGCTTTCGGCTTCTGCTGCCATGCCTGCTGCTTGCTGCTGTGCATCTCCCCTGATGGACTCTTATCCCTCTGGAATCAGGTACTGCAAAATAAACTTTTTTTTCTATAAGCCGCTTTTGATCATGGTGTTTTATCACAGTCACAGAAAAGTAACTAATACAAAAGGTAAAGATTTGTGGTATTTCCTCCAAGAAGTATCCCAGTACAATCTGGCAGGTGTTTTTAGGCACAGCTATGAGCAGTTGGGAGTAGAAGCCAGTGAGTATCAGAGGACAGGCCTGAGCAGCTCAGAGGAAGGATAGGAGGATTCTGGCTGAGGGTTTGAGAGGAAGCCTGCATGGAAAGGAGACATTTGAGAAGAGATTAGGGGGATAGAGCCACATGTAGTTCAAGGAAGGAACTGAAAAGATAAGGAATAGCATAAATAGAGGTGGGAGGCCAGAGAGCACTTGGTATATAAGTGGAATGCCATAAAAACCAAGTATCCTTGGACTGAGATGGCTCAGTAGACAAGAGCACTTGCTACGCAAGCATGAGGGCATGAGTTTGAGTCCCCAGTAGTTACATAAAAACTGAACATGGCCTTGTATGCCTATAACCCCAGTATTGGCACGGGGGCAGAGCCAGGCAGATGCTGGGAGTTCTCTGGTCCCAAGCATAGTTAAAAGCGAGCTCCAGGTTCAGTGAGAGACCCTGTCTCATGGGAACAAGGTCGAGAGTGATAGAGGAAGACACTGGAAGTCATCCTTTGACCTCTGTACATATGTGCATGGACACACACACACATACACAGACACATACAGACACACACACATACACACACACACACACACACACACACACACTCTTAACCTGTAGTAATGATTCTCAAATTTTGATTTATTTTATTTTTAACTATGTGTATATGTGCATGTCTGTCTGTGTATGAGTGTGTATGTCTGTATGTGTGTATATGTGAGCTCTAAGAGGCCAAAATAGAGCATCAATCCCCCAGAGCTGGAATTGCAGGCAGCTGTGAGCCACCTAATGTGAGTGCTGAACTCAGATTCTCTGCAAGAGCAGGAAGTGCTCTTAACCACTGAGCCATCTCTCCAGCCACCAGTGATTCCCACTTTTGTATGTGCCACTTCCCAAATCTCATCCTAGACAATGAAAGGAGAAGCCCCGGAGGTTGGGCTCACTATTCTATTATTATTGCAGTTATTAGTGTTAGTATTGGGTTTTTGAGACATGGCCTCGCTATGTTGACCAGGCTAGCCTTGAACTTGCTTGGGTCTTCCTTCCTCCTTTTGCCGCCAAAGTTATATTTTATTAATTAATTAATTATTTTTATTCTATGCGTGTATTTTTCTGCATGCATGTAACTGTGCCTGTGCATGCAATGTCTGTGGAGGCCAGGAGAGGGAGTCAGATCCCCTGGGAATGGAATTATAGACAGTTGTTAGCCACCATGTGGGTGCTGGGAACTGAACCTGGGTCCTCTGTAGGAGCAGCCTATGCTCTTAACTGCTGAGCCATCTCTTCAGCCCCAAGTTATACTATTTTTAAAGGAACCCAGACAATAGACTATCTCTAAGGATCAGTCAAGGTCAGGAACCGCTGACTTGGAGCACAGGTTGAAGCAGAGAAGAGACAGAACCAAGATCAGTTAGGCTTGTCTTGGGCTGGCATTGTGGCATCCTCATTCATCAATGTCTGCAAGTGAAGGGGTATAGCCTCTCCCACAGGTCAGAAAGTAAAAGATGAAAAGCAGAGGCTTGATGGGATCATAGGTGCCTCTTGGAATGCTGACTTGAGCAGTCAGAGATAATACAAAGGTAACTAATACATGTCCTTAATCAAAATCACATAGACCAATTCCCATTGACTTAATGATCTAGCACTCAATCCCCACTTACCTCCTGGTGATTTCTGGGGTCTTGGAAGAGCCATAGCCATGACCATCTTTAGCATCTAGATAATCAGGTTCTCCCCAAAAGTCTGGAGCATTCTGCAGGTCCTCGGCGCCAGGATAGTCTGGATTTCCATAAAAATGGGGAGAGTTTGGTTGATTCTCAGCACCTGGGTAATCAGGCTTCCCCAGCATGTCTAGGTGGGGATTGATTCTGGACCTGGCATAGCCTACATCCCTTCTGGAGTTGACTCTGGGGACATGAGGATCGGAGCTGCCTTGAGCTTCTGGGTAGTCTGGTTCTTCCAAGGATCCCAAATAACCTGGATTGATTCTGGAGCCTGCATAGTTTCCACTGCTTCCGGATCCTGAAAAACCAGGATAGGACTGAGCCCCAAGGTAGTCAGGCTGTCTGGATGAACCTGCATGGTATGGATTGCTCTGGAAGTCAGTATAGTCTGGCTCTGGTAAAGACTCATGATAGTCTGGCCTTCTTCTGGACTCTGCAGAGTTCAGGTTACTCCTGCTGTTGGGATATTCTGGGTTACTCAGAGTTCTTGGATAGTCTGGTTCTGCTAGAGAGCCGGGATAGTCTGGATTTGTTCTAGAGTCTGAAGAATATGGATTGCTCCTGGTGCGGTAGGAGTTTGGACTGTCCAGAGAACCTGGAAATTCTTGATAATTCTGAGTTTTCAAATAGCCCTGAGTATAGTTCTGAGACCCTGGATAGCCAGGATAATCATCATCCTCTTTGTAGCCAATATTCCTATGGTAGGAAGACATGCTGGTATAGAGCCTTCACCTAGGCATGCTAACACATCAGTCACAAGGGGATCTTTTTCTTAACCTGAAAATCAAAACAGAAAGGAAAGTCAGTCTTTTTTCTTTCTTTCTTGCATAAATTGCTGATTTTCTTCTAATATCTGTCCAGTATCCGATAGCTGGGTATACATGGGCTGAGAATAATGATTAGGTTGTGAACCTAAGCCTTCCATGCACCTAGATGAAGCTTTGGGAGTGGTCAATGGCATGCCAGGGGAAGTACTATATATAAATTCCAGGTCACACTGTTGAAGGACAGGGGTCATTCCTCCTTTTTTCCATCCTCTGCTTCCTGTGGACTGGAATGGGGCTTGGTGTGTGTTGTCGTTTTGAGTTTGGGTAGATCAGTGCTCATGAGGACAAGAATACAACACATGGCGAGTTGGCTGTGGGCAACTCCTCAGAGCAGAGCCATAGCAGCTCAGACTTACTATGGGGGAGATTAAACTTGCATCTTGTTCAAACTACTGACGTCTTAAATAATACATCTCCATTGTTGTAGAGTGGAAGCAATGAACTAAAGATTAGAAGGAACAAGAGCATTTTGTTATTGTTGCTTTTGAGACAGAGTTTCATGTAGCCTAAGCTGGCCTTGAGCTCACTATGTAGTTGAGGATGACCTTGAGCTCACTATGTAACTGAGGATGACCTTGAGCTTCTGACTTCTCTGCTTCCAGCTTCTGAGTACAGGGATTATAGACATGCACCATCACACCTTCAGACTCAGTTTATGTAGTACTAGGCTTTGTGCATGCTAGGCAAGCACCTTACCAACTGAACTACATCCTCAGCCCAAAGGAACAAGAACTTTTTGAGCAGTTTGTTTGTTTGGTAGTGTTTTAGAAACAAGTTCTTGCCATGTAGCCGTGTGGTCTGGAACTCACAATTCTCCTGCCTCAGTCCTGAGTGCTAGGATTATAGGTTCTATAGGCCACCACACCTAGCCCTAACATTCTGATTGCTCTTGTGTTTCTAGGGTTCAAAGCACAGACTGGCACGAGTACATGAAGGATGAACAGTTCGTGTAAATTAGACAGGAGATTCAGATAAGGACATAATTGCTCAGATCATCTCCGTTTAAAAAAATATGATTTTATGAGTTACATGAGCTCTTCAGACATCGCATACCCTCCAGTTCAAAATGATGAGGTCCTGATTCCCACCCTGCCCTAGGCATCTTCCTCACGCCCATCCTCAGTCCAGATGATACAGAAAGCTCTGACTGCACTTCTGGTCAACTCCATTATGGTCACATGACCTCACCCTGGTGGACACCAATCAGCGTCCACCATTCACTTGGCCACAGGATTTGGCTCAGGAATGAGGAAAGACGTGGGGCTCATACCCCAAGTCAGTCCTGCAGGGTTTGGACCAGCCTTACTGAGAACAGGGTGCTCTTTTTTCTAAAAGATTAGGAGGCAAACCTGGAGCTACTAGGGTAGTATCAGTGGGGAAAGAGAAGAAAATAATACATAGAGAGGAAAGCTTAAAAGAAGAGTCAACAGGATTTGTTGCTGTGCCAATATGGGAAGGGTATTAAACATGGAAAATAAAATAACCGTTGTCATAGTTTCAAGTCTGCATGATTAGGTAGATACGGTGCTTTTGAAGCAGGAAGTTGTCGAACGCCGGGCAAGCCCACCAGGCTTGGGTCTTCAACAAGAAAGACACTCAGACAAAAGTCTGAAGTTATACAAGGAATTTATCAAAAGGAAGGCAGGTACAGGTTGGGGAGTGATCTTCAGAAAGAATTAATCGTGGGCTTCTCACAGCTCCTTTTTGTATGACTCGGAGTTGGGGTCACCAAGGTGATTTTTCTAACAGAAACAAACAACTTACTATGGATACAGCATGTAGCTGCATCTTCCGGTGCCCGCAGTCCAAACCGAAACTAACTTTCTAGAAGACCTGATTTATCATACAGGTATAGCCTGTCAGCCCTGACCGCTGAAGCAGAAAGCTCAGAAACTCTTAGAGTGGCACTCTTCTAATTTCCAATGCTTATGTCAAGCATGGCTCCTGACAGGAAGTAGAACATTTTAAAGCTTAGCCAATGTACACAAATTGATCTCTGTGTAAAGAAGGGTTAGGCTTTGCATAATTGAAACTTAAGACAATATTAACTTTGCACCGTCCCCTGTGCATTCAGAATGTTTGTGTGCGGACTCAGTTCCTTATGGCTCAGCACCATGGAAGTCAGCTTTCCTTCCCTTTGTTCCTTCCCAGCATCCGTTTCTCTCTGTTGTGGTAACTTGTTTCCCTGGGTACCACCTCTTCTCTGCAGGCTGGATGTGGACATGGGACTCAATGGAAATGCTTTTCTTCCTGACCATACTGATTGGGTCAGGGCACACATCACTCAGGTGAAGCTGGGGAGATTCAATTCTAGGGGCTTTGTTGAAGTTGGAGCTAGTAAGTTTAAGCTTGAAGCTTCCGTTGGTTACAGATGGGGAAGGTTTGCCTAAAAGTGATGATGGAAGGGAGAAAGCACACCAAGAGAGACGTGATCAAATGCTGGTGATGTGGATGTAGCCCCTGGATCCAGCTGTAACTGAGACAGATGGTCATGGGATACCTGAATCATTACATTCTCCTTTTAATATAACTTAGGGTTGAGGGCTGGAGAGATGGCTCAGTGGTTAAGAGTACTAACTACTCCTGCAGGGGATCCAGGTTCAATTTCCAGCACCCCACATGGTGGCTAACAACTGTCTGTAACTCCAGTTCCAGAGGATACCATGCCCTCTTCAGGCCTCTGCAGGCGTTGCATGACACAGGTACACTTACACACATGCAGGCAAAACACTCATACACAAAAAACAAAATAAAAATAATAAATAAAAATTTAAAAACAACAGAAGCATAATAATGTGACCAGAGTGATGGAGACAGGAAACTAGCATAATTGAAATTATAACCCCTCTCATGAACCTAGAACAGTGGCTATTTCCTGTGAACCTGAAGCTGTGGTCCTCTCCCATGAGCTAGAGCTGTGGGCCCCTGCTGTGAACCTGGGGCTGTGGTCCATTCCTGTGAGCTGGACCTTTGGTCCCCAACCATGAGCCACAGTTCCACATTTCTCTGGTGGTAGGCTGATGGTGGTGCAAATTGGAGGATGGAAGGCTTCCTGATGTTGGGCAACAGTTTTAGCCTTCTTTGGGTGACTGCATTTCCAAACCCCTTCTCCCCCTGAAGACCCAGGTTGTGCTTGGCAGTGCCTTTGCCTCTGTGTTAGACTTATGATGGGGAAAGGGGAGGTTTTTGTCATTTGCAGTTTCTAGTCTTGGGAGGACTGATTCTCAAGAATGAACTTCCCCACCTCCCTTGATGACCAGCTATGGTCTTGACTCCACACGTGGTCCTGGGCACCCAGGCCTTGACGTTGGACATCTCCCACTCCCAGGCACCAGGAGGTTTTCCATCATTTTTCTATCTCTCGTCTACGTCCCCAGTATACCTTCACCTGTGCCCCACAGAAAGTATAAAGCACCTGACTGAACTTCTAGTGATAAAAATAACAGTTTCTTGGCTAAAAGTCTAAATATCCTTGGGCCTGTTAGCAACATACTCTGTTCCAAAGGCCAAAAATGTCAAAAGTATTTGGGAGCTTGTATCTAATCCTTAAAAGATTTTAGGGTTACCTCTTCAGAGGGGAATGTTGGAGGGGAGGGAGTGGGCATGGATTTGATCAAAACAGCTTATATGCATGTACAAAATTCTCAATAAAGTTTTTGTAGAAGTTAAAAAAATCACAGAAGAAAGGAAAAGGGCGGAGGCGGGGCTACAGCTCAGAGGTACACCATTTGATAAGTTCAAGAGTGAGGATTCAATCACCAGTGGGGTGTGGAGATGGGATGGAAGAAAATTAAGTCATTCCAAGGCCTTGGGGTTTTAGCTCAGCAGATACAAAGTTCTAGGTTCTACCACACACAAAAAAAATAGTGTAACCTTGAAAACCTTTGGCGAACACTGCATCATCACAATGCACAATGTGTGATCTTACAATCACACAGAAGAGGGAACAATCCTGCATAATCCCTAGGTTGACACAGTGACAGTAACTGAGGACTTTTTTTAAAGACAGGACCTCATGTAGCTCAGGCTGGCCTCACTATGTGACAAAGCCTGGCCTTCAACGCCTCCTGCCTTCACTTTCTGAGTGCTGGGATTACAGGTGTGCACCACCATGCCCAGCTGAGAACTACATTTTACTTCAAGTTTCTTATTAGCCCAGGCTGCAGGGAAATAGCACAGGTTATGTAACACTTGGTATTGGTGAAGGGAAACCAGACCAGCTTTTCAAGACAGCAATACTTCTGAGGATCAATTTCAGAACAGGATTTATGCTCAGAACCCTTCCAGGTGGATCAGATAACAATAGAGTGCTGGTCATGGGTGAGCAAGGCGCTTTGGAGCTCTGACAACTCCAGCTCCAGCTTCAGAGACTGAGAGGGAAAGGGACCCTGGGGTCCCCTCCAGGTCACTGTAGTGAGCATAGAGGCAGACCCGAAGGCTGTGTGCCTCACTGGCCGGGCCACTTCCAAAGGACGACATTTCAGAGCCCCTTTTCCATCTGCTCCCTTTGCCACTGCCATGGTAACCAGTGACACCCCAGACGGGACCCGCCCATCAGCCTTGTCCTTTGTATCTGCATATAGTGCAGGCCACACTGCCTTAACGCCACAGTAGCTTTTCATGAGCCAGAAATAAACTTTTTAGGGGTTAAGTCCTTGAAATTTTGAGTTTCACATCTGGTCATTTATTCCTCCAATATTCTCAGGTTGATCAGGGATGGTTATCATAACCAGAATGCATGATATACATATATGAAATTGTGAAAGAACAAACTCAATAGAAGTTTTTAAATGTCTCAGCCAGGTGTAATGGTGCATAGCCATGAGTCCATGGGAGGTAGAGGCTTGGGATTTCAAGGTCAGCTTGGGCTACAGAAAGAGACTCTGTGTCAACAACAAAACAAAAGCTAATGTGTCTGTACTGAGCATGTACAGACT